GCACCAGGTGAAGCTCTTGGGCTTCATTGTTGGTGCCTACAAGCTTGGGGGCTACGACTTTGTGCTCAAGTACAAGATAAGGGCCAGCAACCACGTTCCAGATGTCCTTTCCCGACCTGCAGGTGATGCATCTCCACCTGCGGAGGTTGCTGCAGACTCGCTGGACCTCACCAGGATGACGGCTGAGCAGATGACGGAGCACCAACTACAAGACCAGGCATGCGAGGACTTGCTTGCTAGAGGGTCGCCAGACTGTACCTGTAGAGAGACCTCCTGCTGCACTCTCCAGTTTTGAGGTGGAGGAGGGTGTTCTGTACTACCTGCAGACTTTTCCAGACCGGGTAGTAAGGCAGGTTTGCGTCCCCAACCATCTCCAGCCACAGGCCCTGCGACACGCACAGTGCCCTCCGACTGCTATCCATCCTGGGGTCCACCGTACGCTCCAGAACCTGCAGGGTGCCCTGTACTTCCCCAATATGCACCGCCTGGCGAGGGAGTAAGTGGCTAGGTGCCATGCTTGTCAGTAACGCAAGGGAGTGGCAGGTCGTGCTCCAATGGAAGGACATCCTTTACCAGAGGCTCCACTGGTGTGGGTCTCTGCCGACCCTATGGACCTGTGGGGATCAGCGACAGGGTTCCAGTATGCCCTGTCCATTGTGGATCATCATACTCGGTTTATACAGCTGGTTACAATGTGTGACAAGAGTGCCAACAGAGTGCTGCAGGCTTTTGTGGGCCACTACGTGACACTCTTTGAGCTGCCCAACCATCTCCACACAGACAATAGCCTGGAGTTCTCACATGAGTGGTGCTCACTTCTGGAGGCATTGCAAGCGCAGCACTCATTTTCGGTGACTTATCACCCCCTGTTCAATGGGGTGGTGGAGCGCACCAACCGTACAGTGAAGGACGCATTGGCGGCGCTGGCTAGGCAGGCTCCTTCGCTGTGGCCCACTCATCTGCTTGCTGTGTGCCTTGCCCTGAACTCAGCCATTCACCGGGCCGTGGGGGACCAGCCGTTGTACTTGCTGACAGGTTGTATGGCGCTCTTTGGGAAAGGCCTGACTAACCGCCAGACTGTGGACCCAGACCAACAAGGCCCAGTATGACCAGGCTGCTCGCACCTCAGGCCCTTACGAGGAAGGTGCTCTGGTCTTGCGAAAGATCCAAGGGAACCATGGACCTTTGGGTGATCGCTGGCTTGGTCCCTGCCATGTACAAAAGAGGTTAGGCCCTGTCAGTTATGAAGTCCTGGGCCTTGGCCCCCACACCGTACTGTCAAAGTCCATGCCAACCAGATGCGACCCTATACTCCAGCCGCTGAAGTGGACTTCCTCGAGGAGGATGACCGAGTGTTGTGCGTGTGAGTGACGTGCTTTTGTAAACCGAATTATGAACAGTTGATCCGAACTATAGTGTGCCCTATGCTCCTGAGCTTTGTGTGATGTGTTGCTTTTAATTATGTTCTTGTGCTTTATTTACTAGTAACTTTCGTATTTTATTTTATGTTTTCTTGTGCTCTGATTATCTTTTAGTTTTATCGTTTTTATTGATTTTAAATTTCTTGCCCACTTGGGGTGTTCACTTTTATTTTTAATGCCTTTTCTGACGCCCTTTTGGCAAGCCTTTGCCCATTTTCTAAACACCCCACCTCCAGAAGAATATATAGTAAGTTTTGGGTCCGATAGGAGGTTGTTTAACCCACACTCAAACTTCTTCCAATTTGGGTACTTGGCAAACCCCTGCTGTGACGCTCAGTGCAGTCGCCACAAAGGGCAGTTGGCGGGTAACCTTGACTGTGAAGAGGTGTGAGTGTGGGCTGGGGAGGACTTTTAACTGATTTTTTCGTGTATTGTGCCTCATTGTGATATTTAATGATGTACGGCGACGTTACTCTGTTGCCAGTGATTTCCCGTGTCTTCTGTGATCGCCGAGGCTGTAGTAGCATAGGGCTCAGTAAATAAAGCCGTTTGTATGAACAGCTGTGTTTACCCACTCCCGTAGGTAGTAGTCAGGCCAGCTTTTCCCCATGCCCATACCCACATCTTATTCACTGTTTGAGGATTACTCGTCAGCTCCTGTAGTAGTGTGAGTGTGGCTATCCCCATACTTAACCATGCTACATCTCTTATGCTGATGACCTGGTAATCATAGCCTCTGGCAACCACTGCCTAACTAGAGCTCAGCGTTGTCTGAATCTTGTGTCTGAAGAGTGTTGTAGGACAGGTCTAAAAATATCGGCAGCAAAATCAAAAGCTATGGCTCTGAGAAATAATGTCAGAAACAAAAAACTCACTGTTCAGAGTATGAATCTGGCATGGGTGAAGGACTTATAGCTTGGTGTATGGATAGGACACACGCTCACTTTCAAATAGGATATCCAATACCTGCTCGACCAAACCAAGGAAACTGTCAGTCATGAAAGTAGGAGCAGGACACAAAGTACTAATATCATTGTATGTACATGCTGTCCGTCCTATTATTGACTACGATTCTGTCA